GCATAATTTTAATCATACAAAGAGAAATTAGCACTAATAACCAACAAAAAAATTGTAATTCAATAACTAACTAATTCCTTAAGATCCAATAATTTGGATTTTGCCGCATGATTCATTTTGCTTAGTTATTGAATTATAATTTTTTTTCGGAGATTGGCTAGAATAACCTATCTTTTTTTTTAAAAAATAGTTAGAATAACCTTACTATTTTTTTATTGCTGAAATAACCTATTCTACATTTGTTTTTCTTTCATAATACCAAAATTGTCCTTCGCAAACTCTGCCGAGGTATTGGCAGACTCTACCGATGTATTGGCAGAATATGCCAATATCTAAAAATACGCAGACTCTGCCAAAACATTGGCAGACTCTGTCGAACATTGGTAGACTCTGCCAAACATTGGCAGACTCTGCCGAAACATTAGTAGACTCCGCCGAGGTATTGGCAGACTCTGCCGAATTATTGGCAGACTCTGCCGAATTATTGGCAGACTCTGCCAATATCTAGAAATACACAGACTCTGTCAAAATATTGGTAGACTCTGCCGAACATTGGCATACTTTGCCGAACATCGGCAGAGTCTGCCAAAGATAATTTTGGTATTAGAAAGAAAAAAAATTCAGAATAGGTTATTTCAGCAATAAAAAAATAGTAAGATTATTCTAACTATTTTTTTTTAAAAGTAAATTATTCTAGGTAAATTTTTTTTTTTTTGTTATTCACCAAATTTACCATACAAAAACATTACAAGAATGAAAAAAAAAAGCTTTGCTTAACAATACCATCGGGTACGCGCGGGTAGACCCGAAATACACAATGTGATTTTCGGGCTCAGTTTTCGGGTTTATAAATTTTGGGCTCATTTCAGGCTGGGCCGGGTTATTTTACCCAATTTAACAACCCTAAACCCTAGCTTCCATAATTTCATTCACCGTTTTGCTTTCGGTCATTGATCTTCCTCCTTCTCTCTCTCTATCTCACGACCGCCGTTCGTTCGTTTGGAAGCGATTCGCGTGATGGGTACCGAGAGGAAGAGGAAAGTCAGTTTATTCGACGTTATGGAAGATCCATCGGCTCCGGCAAAGAATGCTAAAACCAATGGTATCCCCGACATCAACAATCTGATCAATAAATGGAACGGGAAGCCATATTCGCAGAAGTATTTTGATATATTGGAGAAACGGAGGACTTTACCTGTTTGGCTTCAGAAAGAGGAATTTCTACGAACTTTAAGAGGAAATCAAACCCTAATTCTCGTCGGTGAGACCGGTAGTGGTAAAACTACTCAGGTAAAGTTTTCACCTTTTCTTTCACAATTCTTTTGAATGATTGTATCTCGAGGAGGGTTTAGGTTGATTTGATCGGAGATTTAGTGTATAGAATTTGAGAAGCTATAAATTGTTTAATTTTGTTTGTTGTTGTACAGATTCCACAGTTTGTTATAGATGCTGTGGATGCTGAAACCTCGGATAACCGTAGGAAGTGGTTGGTTGGATGCACACAGCCTCGTAGAGTTGCAGCTATGTCTGTGTCTCGTCGTGTTGCTGATGAGATGGATGTAGCTATTGGTGAAGAAGTTGGTTACAGTATTCGTTTCGAGGATTGCAGTAGCCCCAGAACGGTTCTTAAGTAAGCATATTGTCTCTCTTTAGCTTCTCACAGTTAGAATTTGCAATTTATGTTGGACTTGGATCTAATCATGTGTTACTCACCATGACCAGGTACTTGACTGATGGTATGTTGCTGAGAGAAGCAATGGCGGATCCGCTCCTGGAGAGATACAAAGTGATTATTCTCGATGAG